GCCTTGCCTTTTTTTTTTTTTAATTATTTTGAGTGGGCTTAGTATTTTTTTTTTTGGGTGGGCGTTAGGGGTGTCTATGAGCCGGGTTATCCACGGGTCCCGTTATCCTGTCCGAAAAAAATAGGCCCGAAATTCGATAGTTGGTCCGCCCGAGTCCGAGTCCGAGTCCGAGCCCAATATCCTTTAAAAGGGGGCTTGGGTTTGCCTCTAAACCCATTACCCAGCCCGAAGCCCGGCCCAAGAGCCCGCCCGCAAGCCCAACCCAGCCTACCATATCCTACATTTTTTTTGAAAAAAAAGTTATACTTTTAGACCATTAAATTTGAAATTTTGAAATAAGTCTCTCAATATCGAAATTTGAGGTTTTAAAAATTTAGATATTATAAATAATGTATTATTTTATTTTTCATATATTAAACATATAAGTTTTAAATGATAGAATAATACAAATGATAGATAAGTTAGTAGGTGTCAACCTAGTTGAGATTTATTCATTCTATTAGATGTAGTTCATTATTTTATTTTTATCTATTTTGACTTTATTTTTGATTCAAAAATATAATTTACATAAATATTAAGTGACAAAAATATTCATTATTTTTAAATAAAGATGTATATAAAAAAGCTCGCAATACAGGCTCGCCCAATAGATTCACGAGTTGGGCTGCGAGTAGCCTACCACTACCCGAAACCCGGCCTGGCCCATGGACACCCCTAGAGGGCGTTGAGACATTTTACAATATATATATATATATATATATATATATATATATATTATAATTATTATAATATAAAATAAGACGGTTTCAACAAGCCCATCATAAGGTCTCAAATTCATTCATCAAACGGTCAAGAAATTAACTTTTTTTTCCTCAATATTTCTCTCCCAACAAGTCAATGATTACCATTTTCTTCCTTTAATATTTTCCTTCCAACCGATCAATAATTATGACTAATCTTGGAACACAAGATTTTTTTTGATATAATTATTAAATGAGTCAAATTTGTCATTAATATCATCTGTGTAGTGTAACATTTTGAATTTTTATAAGATACAATGATAATATTTTGATTAAAAAAAACTCATCAACTTAACCGATAAAAAAAACAAGGGCGCTGTTTAACACAATTATACTGAATATAATTAATTTTAATTTTATTTATCTAATTAATTATCTCAAACGAACATGTATTACACATATATTGAATCAAAAGTTCAAGACTAATTTTTTTTTATCTCTTAAGAAAACTCAATGCTAATATATTCTTATAAATTAATAATTTTGTAATAACTTGTGCTAATTAAAAAAATAATATTTTATAAATGATATTTGTTGAATTTTTTCTTTTGATAGAAAATATTTTGGTGATATATTTTTTGATATATTAGATTTTTAGTTTATAATAGATTTGACTCGATTTTGATTACATTTATATAAATTAATGTTCGATTTTGATTACATGTATATAAAACAAAAAATACTTCAGTGAGTTCACCCAACGGTCTCAAATAAACTCATCAAACGACCACCAACATCTCTCTCAAAATCATTCAAATTAAATTTTACCTTCTTCTTCTCACTTTCTCTCTCTGGAAGTGGCAGAAGGAGGATAGGCTTAGAGCCACCCTAAATATTTTTTTAGTTATATATGTTTCATATATTCTTAATTGGGCTTAGTGTAATGATTTATGAAAAATAAATTTAATTAGGTCAAACAAGTTGGGTATTAGAACAAAAAAAAAAAAAGTCTATACCAAATCTCTTAAAACTAAAATTGATTCCTTAAAATATTTGTATGATTTGTTGGAGTCTCATTTAGTTCAAAAATTATGAAATATATAGTCAAAAATTAATAAAATATAAAATTTGTAAGAAGATTAAAAATTATAGAATATTCATTTTATTTGTGTCAAATCTATAATATAATAGGGTAGACTTCAATAAGCTCATTCGACAATTTCAAATAGACTCAACTAGGGATTAATTTATTTACAATAATCTGAACCTTGGTGAATGATATTTGTAGATCTTTTTTTGATAAAAAATATTTTGGATATATGTTTTTTTGATAAATTAGATTTTTAGTTTATATTAGATTTGACTCGATTTGATTATATGTATATAAATTAATATTTTTTTAAGTCAATTCTATCATATTTCGTTAATTTATCTATAATATAAAACAAGAAAAATTCGAATAAATTCATCCAATGGTCTCAAATAAACTCATTCAACGGTTATCAACATTTCTTTCAAAACCATTTAGATTGAATTTTACCTTCCCTTTCTCAATCTTCACACTTCACTCTTCACTCTCTGGTAGTGGTGGAGGGCAGAATTTTTATATTATAGATTGAATTTTACCTTCACCTTGAATTTTTTTTTTTTTTGTTATAATTGTTTTAAATATTTTTTTTGGATATTCTTAATTGGGTCCACTGTAATAATTTATGAAAAATAAAATTAATTGGGTCAAACAAATTAGGTATTAGAACAAAAAAAAAAGGCTATACCAAATCTCTTAAAACTAAAATTGATTCCCTAGAGTATTTGTATGATTTGTTGGAGCACCATTTGATTCAAAAATTATGAAATATATAGTCAAAAATGAGTAAAATATAAAATTTGTAAAAAGATTAAAAATGATACAATATTACTTTTATTTGTGTCAAATTTATAATATAAAATTTAACAGACTTCAATAAGTCCATACGACAATTTCAAATAAACTCATTTAACAACTATTAACATCTCTTTCAAAATCATTTACAAAAAATTTCTTCCCTTTTAAATTCATCAATTCTTACTTATAGGACACTGCATCTTCGGTCACGAATTACCCCAGGACAAATTTTAGAGAGGCGGGAGAGGTTTCAAGTACTGTCATAGTCAGAGCACGAGGGGAGCTTCGTAGAAAGTCAAATGTATTTTAAAATATAGAAAAATATATTTTAAAATAAGTTACTGGTAATAATGTGCAATGATCCCGTCGCGTCGGTGTATGCTTTTTAAGTTTGATAATAATTTTCCAACTTTGACTGGCCTGTCACCTCAATCGAGCCCCTCTTTGTTGAAAATCGAGCTACCTGCTTTTAAATTTACCATAATGCCACATTATCACCTCTGATTTTTCTCCTTTTTTTTTTTTCCATGCAATGTCCAAAATATCCCTCTACCAACCCACGCATATACAAGGGTCCCATACTCTTTTTACCCAATTACAAAATGACACATAAAATATTTTTATTATTTTTACTATTAATGATTACACAACATCTAATTTAAAATTTATAATTCAATATTTTTTTGGCATGATACCAAAGCATTACTATTCAATAAATTGTGCTCAAATGTGTAGTTTTTTGTTCACAAATTTGATATTATATTAATCTTTTGCATTTCACTGCTTAAAAAAAAGGAAAGGTACATTGGGTCTTCCAGGTAATTTCAGACAAAGAGAGAAAAAGAAAAGGGTATTTTGGTATCAGAAAAATGTAGAGGGCAAAGATGTCTAAAAACCACGGGCATGCCAGTTATGTTGCATAGAGATAGCATTAATGCTATCTTTTCTTAATAGGAAAAATACTTTTGGGGCTTTTATTTGGTTTGACTAGTGCTTGTAGAGCTCCCTCTCTCTCTCTCTCTCTCATCTTGTTGAGAAATGATAATAAAGCCACCAGTGGTGAGGAAGTTGTGGACAATTATTTTTATATTTAATTTCTTATCGATTAAAAATAAATAATACATATAAATTCATTATATAACACTTAAAAATTCATTACCACTTCTTTTGTTTGTAGATAGTAATAACTTTGATTTAGACTTTCTTTTAAAGTATTTATCTATGATTGTTTCAAATAACTAATAAAAAGAATAAATAAAGAACAATTGTAGAAGGAGACAAATACAAGTCCACGTACAATTTTCCCCCAAGAGGTTGGTTTTCTACTGCTTCTTTCTGTCTCTGTCTCATTCTCTCTCTTCCCATTTTTCTTTCCCTTGTTTTTAGGACTTACTTTCCAATATCTCTGCTTATACTTAGGTTCCGTTTGATAATCGTGTGTTTGTATATTTTTTTTTTGTTTCTGTGTTCACTTTTGCAAAAAACAAAAAGAGAAAACAATAACGTGTTTCTGTTGTGTTTTTATTTGTTTTAAGCCACCTTGTTTTAAAAACATGGTCCAAATTTGTAAACACAAAAAATGATGCTTTTGTTGGCTCCATTAATTACGTCTCAGAAAACAAACGGGAGAGGTTTCAAGTATTGTCATAGTCAGAGCACGAGGGGAGCTTCGTAGAAAGTCAAATGCCCCATGGCTGCCCTGCTGTATCTGTCTTGAAAACAATATTCAATTTATAGAAAAATATATTTTAAAATAAGTTACTTGTAATAATGTGCAATGATCCCGTCGCGTCGGTGTTGAAAATAATAGGTGAAACATCAAATGGTTCTCCCTCTACGATGAACACAATTCCAGTGCTTTTGCCTACAATCTACATTTTATTTGTGATTTTCAGAATGAATAATAAATAAGCAAACTGTTACCTACCCTTACGAATATCATTAATGTATTCGTAGTTGTTTTTTGTTTTTTAATCCAAGTTGAGTTGGGGCGGTTGTTGAGAAATGATAATAAAGCCACCAGTGGTGAGGAAGTTGTGGACAATTATTTTTATATTTAAGTAGACAATATTCTCATCTCCTCCGGCACGGGAATTGCAATATTCTCTTCAGATCAGAAAGGAAAAAATGGAAAGCAAGCCAGTGATTGTTGCTAAAGCCACCAGTGGTGATTCCTCATCTCTCAAATCTCCATTTCTCAGAAACTTCTGGGTTTAGATGGAAATTTCATAGCATCTTCTACCTCTTTCCACATTGTAGATCTATAAATTATTTTTATATTTAAGTTAGTAGACAATCTCATCTTCTCTGCCACCGTCATATACCATTTTCTGATTTTCTCTTCAGATTATTCCCAAGGAAAAATGGAATGCAACCCAGTGACTACTGCTAAATCCACCAGTGCTGATTCCTCATCGCCTTCGCCGGTTGAGATTGTCGATGGAAATTCCTCCCCGCAGGTTTGTTTTTCTACTCTCTCTCTCTTTCTCTCAAACGACTCTCCTTCCATTTTCTCCACTTATACTTGATTTTCCTTATTTGCTAGAAAATAGAAAACACACCTGTGACTACTGCTGAAGCCACCAATGGTGATTCCTTAACCTCTTTCCACATTGTAGATCTATAAATTATTTTTATATTTAAGTTAGTAGACAATCTCATCTTCTCTGCCACCGTCATATACCATTTTGTGATTTTCTGTTCAGATTATTCCCAAGGAAAAATGGAAAGCAACCCAGTGGCTATTGCTAAATCCACCACTGCTGATTCCTCATCGCCTTCGCCGGTTGAGATTTTCGATGGAAATTCCTCCCCGCAGGTTGGTTTTTCTACTCTCTCTCTCTCTTTCTCAATCGACTCTCCTTCCATTTTCTCCACTTAAACTTGGTTTTCCTTATTTGCTAGAAAATAGAAAACACACCCGTGAATATTGCTGAAGCCACCAATGGTGCGTCCTTATCCCCGGTTGAAAGGGCTCGCCAAATCCGAATCACACCTGCGAAGCTTGAGGTGAGCAATAATTATAAATTTTTTAAATTTATAATTATCCCCGGTTGAAAGGAACAATTGTTGTTATTTTCTTTTAAAGTATTTCTCTATGATTTAGACTTTCTTTTAAATTATGTTGTTATTTTGTACTTCCTTGCATTTTCATATTTATTTCTTGTTTGCTTCCTCCTGATCTATTCCCCCTCCCTTTCTCCATCCTCCTCTTTTGGTTGATCTTCCAGTCCGAAACATCTTGTGGGTGATCTGTTGTGATTAGTCAAGAAATAAGGCATGTGCTGCATTTGGTTCCAGCTGCAGCAGCAGATTTTGGGGTTCATGGTTACAAAGTTGAAAATAAATGGCCTCAAATATATACCTCTCTCTTGATTCCATCGGGATGAAGAGGTTATCAAATATGTTTTTTATTTTTATTTTTATAATTTGATAAATATAAATAATTATCAAACATGTTTTTTGTTTTCAAATTTTACCACAGAAAAAATAAAAATTGTTTATATCTTTTATTTTTTTAAAAAACACGAAAATAAAAACATTACCAAATGCATCCTTAATGTTTATTGATTCTCTATTTTCAATGAACATAATACATTAATCTCCTCTCTTTCTCTCTCTCTCTCCCTCCGCATTATATTTTCTCCCCCCTCTAAGATTTTTAAAAGTGCGTGTGTATATAGCTTATTTCATATATTGTATTAAAACTGTTCAAAAAAAAAAAAATCTATTGTATTAGAAGGCTTAATGACCTAACTATAGGACGTAGATAATATGTTAAAGTTGATTTTGGATAAATTTCATATAAGTATAAATTTAACAATGACAATGACTTGTTGAATAACATTCCTAATTTTGTCATTATTTGCCCCCTAGAAAATCTTGACTCTGTTCCTAAATATACATGATAATAATAGACAAAGTTTAATAGGATTTTTTGCATTGTGCACCCCAAAAAAATCTCTCGATTCTCACTTTATACCTTAAAAAGATTATTTTTTCCACATTGCACATTGAATATCATAAATTGGTTTCAATGTGACATTCAGACTAACATCCGTTTCAGATTTTGTTAAAAATTAATACAATTGCCACCCATATGTGATGTTCTTGGATAAAAATGTAAACTCACCATCCATATCCTAGGGTGGCATGTGCATTAATTTTTAACGGAATTTGAAATAGATGTTAGTCCGAGGGCCACATTGGAATCAATTTATGACATTCAAGGTGTAATGTGGGAAAAATAAATTTTTGGGGTATAAAGTAAGAATCGAGATATCTTTCATGGTGCAAAATGCAAAAATCCCATTTTAATATGACACAAACTCTAATTTTCACTAAAAGAAATTGCATTAATATTTCTTTCTGTATCTCTGGTTTCAGCAAATGGCCTACGTATCACCTTCATTTACAAGGTCTAATGGGGGATGGATTCGTGATACAGCGGAGATCAGTGTAAGTTGGTTGATTTCTACCTAGCTAGATGTTGAATTCCAAGACTTACATTACTATCTCCACCTACATTAACAGTCAGATTTTTTTGTAACATCTGTAACGGTCATTCCAATAGTCATACATAACATGTTCGTAGTAGACAGATCTAGGTTGTAATAATTGGCCGAGAACTACCTAATATACAATTGATTTATCTACCTAAGAGGCTATTTGATTTTGAGTTATATATTATAACAGGTATTAGAGATCGGTGTTGCCAGGGGCGGATTTGCAATGTGGGCAGCTGTCCACACTGCAATTTTATAAACTTTTGGGGCCTAGGTAGAATTTTGAAAAGTTTCAGAAGTGTTTAAAGATTGCCCCATTGAAAATTTATAAAACATATAGGGTTATTTCTACAATTTAGTAAATAAATGGGGTCCTTAACAAATGTATGTAGACAAGATGTAGTTGTTTTATCCTCAAACCATTGTTGCCTTTGTTAAAATGCCACAAACAAAGCCATGACAAAATGAGCAACTATGACTATCCGCGAGTCCTAAAGAAATTTTGCATTGCCCAAGGTCAAAGGCTTGCGATTTTCAACTATTTTATTTAATTCAAACACTTGAAAATTCAAACAACATGGTTGCTTGATCAATATACATTGATCTTACAAGTTGTTTGTTAAAAATTCAAGGATAAAACATTGAATTTGAGTTGAATTAGCGCCCCACTGTGAAACAATCTTGGCTCCGCCCCCTGGGTGTTGCAAAGTTGGTGAGTCAAGTCTCTCAACCAATTGATTGAATTTCCGGATTGTTTGTCTAAATGTCTCAATTTAGCTGCAATCAATTTGCTTATTGTTTCAATTCAGTTTGTTAACCTACATGTACGGAAGTTTGTATGACATGTGGGAGGATGTGTAGAACAATTAATTATTCAATTATCGTAGTTTTGAAACTTATTTATGAAATGTGATGGTCTAAAACTTATTTACTAAATTATCATTTTTTTTCCAAAAAAAGTATTTTCAAAATAATTGACTTTAACAAACCATTATTGACTAGGCTTTCATTAAAAAAAAAAAAAAAAGGCTTTAGACATGTATTATAATTATAATTATAATGCTTTCTAGATAGTTGTTCATCAGTATTATCAACTCAAAAATACAATAAATTTATTTATATGTGGAATATATAATTAGTAACATGAGATATATAATTAGTTATCCAATATTAAAAATGTATATTTATTTCATAATAGTCTTCAAACGTACATGTATTTTTTAAGACAGATGCTAGTGCAAATAGAAAAAAAATTCATATGTGAATTAAATTTTAAATAATATTAAACAACATTTTTGTTGAGTGGAATTGAGAATAAAACAAATAACGATAATCTTCTTCATAGTCGCTTTTCATATCGAAAAATAGGTGCATCTATTGTTTTTCAATGTATATTTTTAAACCATCTTAGACAGTTATCCTTTTAATCATCAATTAGTTCTATTCCTACCATTACACTAGTTTTTTTATTTATAATTTCATCTTTTCATATTTCTGGTAGAATTATTTTTGCAAAATAGGAATCATGTATTTTGATGTTATCAAACTATACACAAGTTAAATCCTTGTTAGATTTTATACAGGTTAGTGGAGTTATTGTCATCATTAGACCAAGAGCTTCTAGGGGTGAGAAGAAACCTAAAGGTAGGTACTGAATTCATCATTCAACTTGTTTATTCTTATTGCTATTTTAGCTTAGAGAGAGTTCTACGGTACTGAAAAAACATTCTTTTGTGTCGCATCCAAAATTATTATTTATTGGGTTCAACTTACAACTCAGATGAATCGATCAAGATTGATCTTAAAAAGTCGAGGATGATACTAATATTTTTGGAGTTTTTGGGATCGATTCCAATCTTTTTCATAACAATCCATTCCGACTTTGAACCGTTTGCATCATAACTATCAGTATGGTAGGTACCATAGAAAATCCCACTAGTTTAAGACAACTTTTAGAGGTTCCACTTTTAAGCTTTCAATGATAAATCTCAACTACCAATATTTTGCATAACTAATGTACCATGTTGTAATTTTTTTTCTTGAGAATATTTTTAATAAAATTAAATTTGTCAAAAAAAAGAACATATTTATAATTATGCAAAAACGATCTATATGCATCTTAGTATATGGATGGTATACTTGTGTACGCAAAAGTCAATAATGCAACACGTGCTAAAATTTATACCAAATTTCTTATATCACATCAATGTACATTATTGAATTAACGGGTCCAATAATTTCAATAAACATTCAATAATTGAGATGTTGCCACATTATTTGGTGTACAAATTTAGTACACACAACATTTTCTTAAAAAGTGTATATTAAGAGGTTAGCTTAACTCTCTCGAGAGGGAAAAAAAAAAGACATGAAATTTTAGGGCGACAAAATTTAATCCCGTGGCGAAAAAACTTGTCATGATTTACTATTGCAGTTCTATTCAAATTTTAGACTATAAATAGATAAATGACAATCGTCTATATATAATCTTGTTATCTATTTATATGTAACCATTTGTTTTTCTTTTGTCCTTGTTATTTCTGTTATAACCTCGTTCTTTTTCTCCAGAAGAAGGTCCAATAATTTCAATAAACATTCAATAATTGAGATATTGCCACATTATTTGGTGTACAAATTTAGTGCACACAACATTTTCTTAAAAGTGTATATTCAGAGGTTGGTTTAACCCCCTCGAGAGGGAAAAAAAAAAAGACAAATGAAATTTTAGGGTGACAAAATTTAATCCCGGGTCATTTACTTTTCTATCATAGGGCAAAAAAATTTGTCATGATTTACTATTGCAGTTCTATTCAAATTTTAGATTATAAATAGATAAATGAAAGCTGTCTATATATAATCTTGTTATCTATTTATATGTAACCATTTGTTTTTCTTTTGTCCTTGTTATTTCTGTTATAACCTCGTTCTTTTTCTCCAGAAGAAGGTCCAGTAATTTCAATAAACATTCAATAATTGAGATATTGCCACATTATTTGGTGTACAAATTTAGTGCACACAACATTTTCTTAAAAGTGTATATTAAGAGGTTAGCTTAACTCTCTCGAGAGGGAAAAAAAAAAAGACAAATGAAATTTTAGGGCGACAAAATTTAATCCCGGGTCATTTACTTTTCTATCATAGGGCGAAAAAACTTGTCATGATTTACTATTGCAGTTCTATTCAAATTTTAGACTATAAATAGATAAATGAGAGTCGTCTATATATAATCTTGTTATCTATTTATATGTAACCATTTGTTTTTCTTTTGTCCTTGTTATTTCTGTTATAACCTTGTTCTTTTTCTCCAGAAGAAGGTCCAGTAATTTCAATAAACATTCAATAATTGAGATATTGTCACAGTATTCCGTGTACAAATTTAGTGCAGACAACATTTTCTTGAAAGTGTATTTTATTCAGAGGTTAGCATACCTCTCTCGAGAGGGAAAAAAAAGACAAATGAAATTTTAGGGTGACAAAATTTTATCCCAGGTCATTTACTTTTTTATCGTAGTGTGAAAAAATTTGTCATATTTACTATTGCAGTTCTATTCAAATTTTAGATTATAAATAGATAAATAAAAGCCGTCTATATATAATCTTGTTATCTATTTATATGTAATCATTTGTTTTTCTTTTGTCCTTGTTATTTCTGTTATAACCTCATTTTTTTTCTCCAGAAGAAGATGATGCAGAGATTCCTGAAGAACTAGCAGTTTGCAAATTTTGCTTCAACAAATTTGTCGAAGAAAACGTTCTCAAGACAAAATGCAATTGCAAAACTGGTCTTGCCCATGACAAATGTGCATCTCACCACTTCAATGAGCTAGGAAATAACATGTGTGAAGTCTGCGACCAAGAGGTTGAAACAACACCAGTAACTTTGCTTCGACGCCCATTCTCTCCGAAGAAAAAGAAGCGAAAAAACAAGAAACATTGCTTCGGATTATGAATGAAAAGGTAATGTATTAATCTTTATCGATGAAAAATACAAAGATGGGGTAAAAAGGATGGTGGTGATGATCCAGTTTAGTTCCTGCTACTCTTTAGTGTTGGGAGGAAAAAGAGTACGTACCTCACTTTAGCATAGTTCCTATGATATAATTGCACTTAAAATTTAATCCATTATTAGTCACACACTCAAAGTCGAGCGAAAGTGTAACATATAATTTACAAGTTTCGATTATTAGATATAGTTAAAGAGTCAGAAAGGTTATCCATTTTGGTCCTTATAATTGAGGATGTCAGGGTGAACTACATATAGAACTAATTTGCAAAAAATATTTGCACAAAATGGTGTCTGGGACACAACCATGTGATTGTTACCCCCAACACTTGGCACTCCCAAGCGGCAATGACCCATTCAATCACAAGCATGATTGTTTTAATTTGACTCGGAGTTATAGTACTCTATAGTGGTCTAGAAATGATTGTTTTTTTAAAAATACTTGTACATGATGGTTATTCCAAGTTACAAGTCTATGATTGTAGGCCTGCACTTTTATTACTCCAAGAGGCAATGAGAAATACAACCATAAGTATAATTTCTTATAGAAGATGATGTTGATGAAATAACTAGTTTATTGGATTAAAGATATCCTTAAACACTACATAACTCACTCATTATTTTTGAACTCTTGGTTTTGTTGGGATTGAAGTGACGTAATAGCGGGATCCTCATACACTGAATCACCCTTTTAATTAAAAGCAATGCTATGCATACCAAAAGTGTTCACCAAAATGTGTACTAAATCATCTGTAGCTATTAGATCAGTAGGTCTCATCATTGATCCAACAACGATTGCAGATAATTTGGTGCACATAGTTTTATCGTTTAATTACTTCCTTATATTCTTTCTTGGATAATTTTGTTGCATTATATTTTGATAATTATTATTATTTTCTCTGCAGGCCGGTTCGTTAATGTTCTTCTTGTAATTCCAAGTTATATGCTTTATCCTTGGAGCAGCTGCTGATGTGCCACAATAAGAAAGAGGTGAGTAGAATGGAGAGCTTACAATGGAGTGGAGGTAGAATTTGAACTAAGACATAATAAGTAGATTTGCTGTGGTTTTGTTGTTGGTTTTTTCGATATTTTCGTTGTATTAATTATTGTGACCTTACAAGGGAGCACTATAACTAAAAACATAAGTTGATATGCTGTCGTTTTTTATGTTATTTTTGTTGTACTAAGTTTTGTTTAATCTCCATTTAATTTCCTCAAAGATTGTGTGATGTGATGCAACCATTACTGGTACTATTTGTCAATAAATTTCGTTCTCATCTGTTGGTGAACACAAAAAAATACTGGGATAATATGAAGCTAAAAAACCCTAATTGGTGGTACAAATTGAAAAACATAATAGTTGGGGGATAGTGTCAAATTAATAATCATAATTGTGAGTACAATATAAGAAATAGAATAATTGAGGGGCAATGTGAAAAAAGAGACATTATTAGTGAGGTCAAAGTATAATTTCACCAAAGGTAAATCACACTCACAATTAGGAGTGTCTATGGTTCTGCCCGGAAATTTTTTTTGGGTTAAGTTTGGAAAGGGAAGGTCTAAACCCTTATTCAGGTGAGTTATCGGGCGAGACAGGTTGGATTTCGAGTAAGTGTAGGTTACGCACAGCCCAAACCTACCACTTATTGGACGGTCTGTTGGCATGAGCCTATCAGTCTATTGAGTGGTGGGCCTAATGGACGGATTTTTTTATATACAATTTTATGTAGAAATAATGAATATTTTTATAATTTAATATTTTTATAAATTATATTTTTGAGTTAAAAGTAGAGTTAAAATGGACAAAATGTAAATAATGAATAATTTTTTTTATAAATAGGGGAGAAACTGCAACACAATAGAATGAGCAAATCTCAACTACGTTGACATCTACCCACTTATCTGCCTTTTTCAAATTTCAAATTTCAAATTTAATGTGTCTAACTTTTTTTCATAGGAAGGTGGATGAATTGTTCGAGCCGAGTTGGGCAGGCTGGGCTGGGCAGACGGATTCTTGAGCAAGGTTTTAAATGGTTTTTTGCGTGTGGGCTATTGGGTCGGTTTTTGAGCCTGGTAATGAGTTTGGGGTAGGCCTAACCCTCTATTTTTTTGGAACGAATAACAGGACCGTAGACAATGCGGCTCATGGATTCCCATACTCAACAATCTCACTGCTGAAGAGGGATGAAAAATAAACATGCAATGATGTTGTTTCTCAAAGTTTACTGTTATTGAATGGAATGCCTCTGTAGCTAATTATAGTGGGCAAATTATACTTTGATACCCCTAGCCATAATTCGTTTCTTACATTGTCCTTTTAGTTACCATGCTTGTCACATCATATATTCACTTATGCTATGGGTTTCCCATTACTCTAATTATTTTGACGAAAAATTATTTAATTTTCTCCCTTGAGCAATGTGACTTTGCACTAGACATGTTGATAATTTCTGTCCAAAAGAAAACGGACATTTGTATTTGGTGTAGTGGAAAATCAATTAAAGTAGTTGAGAGGCTATGTAGAAATATAATAGTTCAAGGGATGAAGTAAAATTGGGTCTACAGATATAAGGGGTTAAAGTGTAATTTTCCCAATTATAGTCTTCTGGACTTGATTTAGTTCTAGGATATCTGTGCTCCTGAATTGGGGAAGATTCCTCACTCGTGGCTTTTTCACTTGTACACTGCGAAAAGCCCACAAGTTTCTTAATATTTTTTAGTTTAAATTTGATTAATTTCGATACTTAAATTTTTCGTTTGAATCATTGAATGACACCAACAACTCACATCTATTTGGTGGACACAGCATTTCTCGTCAATTAAAATGTCATACCAAAAACTGTTTTGTTTTCTTTCCCAGTGATTCAACTATATATATATATATATATATATATATATATATATATATATATATGGGGCTAACGAGCTGAATTTGAATAATTTTTTAAGTTTATTTAAAAAAACAAGCCTAAAAAGTTCAGTTTGAACTCGCAAAGCTCGGCTCGTTTATATGTAAAATAGTCAAACTATTCAGGCTTAGATCGGGTTTACCTCATACTCGGGCTCAACTCATTTTCTAAACAAGTCAAACTTAAACAATTTTTTAAACTTATTTAAAAAATTGAGTTCATCAAGTTCAGGTTTAACGTCCCACAACTCAGCTCAATTAAAATCCCTATCCTCAAGTAGTAATTGGCGTGCATAATATAAGAAGTGTCAGATGAGACTTGAGAGACAGGATGAATAGAGAGCTTAGGAGCACTTGAACTAAGATATAAGGACTCGACTACAGTATCGAAGAAATAATTTTAGTACTGTATCTCTAATTTTTATTATTTTAATAAATATTTTTATATTTTTTGTGAGTAATTTTATAATCGTTGTATTTTTACCACATTTTTATTGTAATTATTTTTATAATTTTTTTTGTTCAAAAAAGTTACCATATTTATAGATGTTTTTTATTAAAAAAGCAAGAAACACTTAAAATTTAATCCGTTATTAATCACACACCTAAAGTCGAGCAAAAGTGTAATATGTGATTCACAAGTTACGATGATTAGATACACTTAAAGGGTCAAAAAAGGTTACTCATTTTGGTCCCTATAATTGTGGATGTCAGGGTAAACTAGATATAGAATTAATTTTCAAAAAATATTTGCACAAAATGGTGTCTGATTGTTACCCCCAACACTTGGCACTCCGAGTGGCAATGACCCATTCAATCACAAGCATAATTGTTTTAATTTGATTCGGAGTTATAGTCCTCGTGCACTAAATCACCCTTTTAATTCAAAACAATGTTATGCACACCAAAAGTTTTCAAGAAAATGTGGTATAAATTATGTGTAGCTGTTTGATCAGTGAGTCTCATCATTTATCCAAAGGCTGCAAATGATTTGGTGCACTAAAGACATAAGTAGATTTGATCACGTTTTGTGGTTGTTCTTTTGAAATTTTTGTTGCAAAAAATAAAAAAAGCGTTGCATTTTTTTTTCATTGATTTTATTTCGTCGTAACAACCTAGTCGAGGAAAACATTTTACGACAAAATCGAATTCGTTGCGAAAACATACTTTCCTCCGTACAAGATAAATCTTGCTATGTCGCTGAAAAAATAATAATATTAAATAATTTAATTGATTTTCTAGGATGTATATAAAATCGTTGCAAATAAGATTGGATTAATCAAAAAGTATTGGTGATGCAACTAAAACGTCACAAATAAGTTGTTTTCGTGACGAAAATTAAAATCGGCATGAAAATTAAATAATCGAGAGTCGGTGTTGACTCTCAACATTCTTAATATCAACCTTGCTTCCACAAAGAACAATCAGTATATTTCATAGGCCATTGAAAAAAAAAAGAGAGCCCATACTCAAAACACCCTTTCTGACCAATTTAATTGAATTATTGATAGACATAGAATTTTTAAGAAACATGAAGTCTCAAAAATTGATCAACGAACCTGTGGCAATGTTAGTGTCATGTTTGAATGTTTGCTGAACCAGCAGTGGTGGTGCCGCGATTGAAGATAAGGTGGTGATGGTGGTGAAAATGAACAGATTCTAGTAGTGAACTCAATGATGCCGCCACAGCTGACCCCAGGGAATGTGTGTGAAACATTCACACTTGGAATTAGATTCAAATATAATTAAAAATAAACATTAATTCATCAAATTCTATAGCACATTAAATTAAGGTGGTGTTTGGATCACCATTGGAGGATTGGATTTGAATCCAAATCCAGTCCAATCTAATGCAAAGTGGTTCGGATTAGAGGATTATAAAGTAATACATTGAATCATATCCCCATCTTTGGATAGAAATCATTTGGTTTGTGGGCCCTATTCACATGTGAAAATAAAACATACTAAAATGACTATTGCATCCTTGTGTAAATAAATGTTATACAATCATATACCATGTTTGGAATGGAATGAAAAAAGTCCAACTCATTAGTATTTTCTTATTTAGGAAAAAAAATATGAATCTAAATTACGCAATTTTACAAAAGATTGCAAAAAATATTATTATTATTTATTTAATTTAATTTGTACAATACACTTTTAATCACAAAAATCATATGCATCATGCAAAAAAAAAAATATTAATTTACAACACAAACACATAATTGTAATCCGAATATTATGTTTATACATAAAAATATGGTTCAATGTCATAGAAATACATATAGTGTCCTTCACACACACACGATCAAATAACATACAATCAATACAACGTAACCTTTAAACATCCAATAGTTCAACAAACGTTGTTACATAGATACCAAAAATGACTTATGGAGCGTAGATGTAAGTTTTCGTATTGATGTAAGGGTTATTGGAAGAAGTCAATTGTCAATGATTATAACATCGACGGTTGGGGCAGAATTCACCGATGGAGAGGATCCTACACTATCAGAAGGTTGTCCGCCTGATGGTGGAACATAATTTTTGAAATGACTTCAAAATATTGGTTGTTAGGACATGCGTCTAGACAATAATCCACAACAAATTGTATATCCTACATGATGTAAACAACAAAGAGTTAATAATTAAAAGGACACACTTACTTCTAAATATTCATTCAATCCTTCCACCTCTACTTTTATGACACATTTATTGCGATTGTCCCAAAAAAATTTACTTGTCTCCAACATATCTGAAATTGTGAAATACTGTCTCTCCCAAAAAAAGATCATGCATAAAACCTCGCTCAATGAGAGGCTAAAGCCTGGCAGACGCCTATGCAGGACATCTAACAATCAATCCATCATTTTCTTGTCAAATCCACCGTGAGGAGGTAATAGGTTCCGATGTTTGTATTCAATTAACGTATCAATCATGATTTTAGTTTCATCAGCACTAATATTTGGAATCTTCATCCCTACGTAACACAATTGCAACTTTACATTAGATGCATCAATCACAAACATAAATATAAAAGTATGTATTGCTCAATATGGTAAAATAAAACAAACAAGTGATTTCATTATACATAGATGGATAATCAACAATTCCACATTACAAAACCCTTACTAACCAACGCACCTTTCCGTTTTCATAATTCCAAGAATTAGTTATAAATGGTACAAGTGCACAGATATACTAAGTAGGGCCTTAAAAAAAATCTAACAGTCATCCAACTCTACCCAATAAGAAGTACACAACATGGGTGAGTATTACACCCAAAAGCAACATCATGACACTTATCACGCACCACATAATA